GAGAGAGAGAGAGAGAGAGAGAGAGAGGATGGGAAACATCCACCCAGCATGCCAAGAGTGTAATGCCAAAAGAAGTGTGTCCTTCACGGCCAGGCCATCAGTAGTTAAATAAAACTGCGGCAGTTGTCCTCAGCACAATGTGCCCATTCCACCCTTGTATTAACACCAACCCCAATGGGGCAGATATGAATGACTGAGCATCACTGGCATAAGCACTCCCTGCAATCCCAGGAATGGCTTGATCCGATTTATTGTTGTCGCCACTGCTGCGAAGCGAAGCAGGCTGTCTTAGAGACCATGGAAGCAAACTTCATAAAGAGGTCAGACCTGAAATTTCAAATTCTCCAACACTGCCCACAGCCATCCAGAAACAAGCAACGCAATGGCTATCGCCACTAACGTTGGACCCCGAAAAAGAATGTGGCGGCGGTTCTTCTTCAACACTCTTTTTTGAAGCAAGGCTACCGATGTCAAGGCTTCATGCCACTCCCAATTCCTGCCCTACTGCAGGATTTCCCCTTATCATCAGAAAAGTCCAGGCTACTTTGGAGTTTAAACCCTGAAGGGCTTGAACCTCTCAACGAGGCCTCAGACGTGCTACTACCTTTGTATTCCTTGGCTTCCGGATTCAGGCGGCACAGCATTCAAATCCCACCGTCAATGCAGATAGGGAGTCCACTGACATTGTCAAACCTAAACTAGCAGGAGTACCACCACCATTATACCTTTCTCCCCTCCCAAAAAAAATAGTAGAAACATCTGTCAGCTCTCTCCTCTTGCTGCTGCTCCTTGTCTTCGACCTCATCGTCGTTGTAGCTGGCTGCGACTGCACCTCTTCCTTCTTTCTTCTAGGCTGCTGCAAACCTCCACTTCCTTACTCTCCCAAAGAGTCCAAATTTCCAAAATCACCTCTCTTAGTCATGTGACCAAGTGATGGCTTGGCTTGAGGATTAGTGCTGCTGATCTCCTGTGGTTTCATCTGTCGTCGGGATCGGTTAATGATCGCAATCACCAAACCGAAAGCTCCAGCATTTCCCTCTTCATGCACGAGCCTCTGGAAACCAACCACAAGCGCTACGAGGTTTTCGACACTAACAACACTTGCGTTGACTCACTGGCGGCAAGCGGGGAATCGTCAGGATGCAAGCTGGGATTATCAGAACCCGCCGAGATGGTTATGCGAACAGCATCCTTTGTCCCTTCACGCCGCCCCGACAAGTCGGTGCTGAGGAGCAACATAAATGCGGCCGTGAAGATAAAGACATGCCAAGAGCTGTGGTGAAGACAAAAGAACGGAACAGAGCAAGACGCAAAATTGGTCAAGCATCAGTGATAAGCCAAATGCCATGAACTTCTTGAACCTTCCATGTTGAGTAACATTGCAGAACTCAATATCAAACAAGGTGGGACTGCAAGTTTTTTTCAAAAAGGTGGTCGGAAAGTGAGAAAAAATTTTAAAAAAGAAAAAAGAAAAAATGAACGATATAATCAAAGGACTAACAATTCGACCAAACAAACCAGCTGACATAATTCTGCTGCAAGAAACTCACCTCACACAATCAGCTGACCGCCAAAAAATCCAGAGAGCGCTAACAAGGAAACTAGGGGGTGTCAAGGATGAAATATGGTCCTCAGATAACTCCTGCACAAAGGGTACGGCCATCCTTATTCCCAAATCTTTCCGCCTCTACCCGGTAGGCTCCATAGTGAATTCAGAAGCCGACACAACAGAAGGCAGATGGTGCCTGATGGACTTACGGTGGAAAGAAGAAGAAGTGAGGATAATAAACATTTATGCACCGAACAATTCATCGGAAAGAACAGCTTTCGTAGCAAATATAGGGAATCTCGCCCCTCCTCTAACGCCCTGCATCTTCGCAGGTGATTGGAACGCCACCTTAGACCCGATAGTAGATCGTATTTCTAGGTCGACGGCTAGCCAATCCACACAAGAGGCAGTCCCCATCCAGCGCTTGATGCTAGACTGCAACCTGATTGAACCATACCGCAYGTTGCACCCGGGAGTAAGAGCCTTCACCCTRGTAAAGAAGAACCACGCCCAACACACTGCCTTCTCCTTTATAGACTATTTTCTGATTTCAGAAACACTAATGGGAACAACAAAGCTGGCAGACATCCTCCCCCTACAACCTTACACAGGGCTGGACCACAAACCAATTGAACTTATCATCAGTTTCGAACAATTTGTGAAGAAAGGCTCCAACTTTCACAAACTTGATAACTCGCTTCTATTAAGCCAATGTTTCGAAAAAGGCATCCTGGACTGCTGGCAGAATAGGAGAAGCAGCTACCTCCCCCATCCAGGACAGATGGGACTGGTTCCAAGACAGCTACTCCTCACTGGCCCAGACAGCGGCCAACATGTCAAGGAAAATGTCAAACGACAGGAAACAGCGAAAAATCGCTCTAGAAGCYGCTTTAAGGGTYGCAGAGTCCAACTTAGTCGATAATCCATCTTCGCCTTTCTAYACAAACATGTTCCACAAAGCAAGAGAGGAGCTGGCTGTATGGAGATGGTGGGAGTTAAAGGGCTTACAAATAAGATCGAGAATGAATGAGTATGAGCTCAGCGAAACAATATCAAAGCACTTCTTTGCGAGGATTAAGGCAAACACAAGATATAGCTCAATAGAGGGCCTTAAGACCCTCTCTGAAACAGCGGAGACACTAACAGACAGCAAAGGAATGCTAAACATAGCCAAGGAAYTTTATGAAGACCTCTACCAAACAAAGACAACCACCCCCACTCCCCCCAGCACTAGAGAAGCACGGACTAGAATGCTCCAATATATAGATAAAACTATCTCACAAGAACAGGCAGACGCTCTAGACAAGCCCATCACGTTGGAGGAACTGCAAGCGGCAGTCCAGAGCATGAACAACAACAAAACTCCAGGCATTGATGGACTAACTAAAGAATTTTGGGAGAAATTTTGGCCACTTCTGGGGAGTGATCTACTGAATTTCTACAAGGACAGTTGGCTGAAGGAGGGCCTTGGTAACATGCTGAGCAGCAGTGTAATCACACTTCTATACAAAAAAGGGGACAAAGAAGACATACGAAACTACAGGCCCATTTCTCTACTCACGTTGCCGTACAAAATCTTGGCGAAAACCCTTGCCCTTAGGATCTTGGATCTGACGGACAAATGTTTCCACATAGACCAGACAGGGTTCATACCGGGAAGATACATTCTTGACAATGTACTCATTCTAAATGAAGCGGCCAACAAAGTAAGAGAAAAAAGAATTAATACAGCAATAATGTTCTTTGACTTTGAAAAGGCTTATGACCAGGTCAACTGGGCCTTTCTAAATTCGAGTATGGAAAAGATGGGAGTAGGTCCGATCTTCAGAAAATGGATACGTATTCTGTACAATGATGCCATGGGCTGTGTACAAGTCAATGGTCTGCTGTCAGAATGCTACCCAATCTCACGATCAGTCCGTCAGGGCGATCCCTTAGCCCCCCCTATCTTCCTCTTTGTTATGAAAGCAATAGCCTCCTTCCTACGGAAAGACCCCTCCATTCACAAACTGCCAGAAATTAACGCAGGATCGGCCCACCATCTAAAGTTCCCTACAGTTATAATGTTTGCAGACGACCTCACGGTTCTCATACGAGCTTTAGACTCGTCCTTCAGTGCTTTAGTAAGAGCTATGGAAGCCTTCAGATTGGCCTCGGAAATGAAGATTAATTGGACAAAAACGGTGGGGTGGTGGTTGTCAGAGGAAGAACCCCCACAGCTCCAAGGCCCAGAGGCAACGTTGACCTGGGAGACACCGATGACACCTACACGATACCTAGGGATCCTGATGACAAAAGAAGGCTTTGCCCCCCAAATGGCCCAGAATGTGCTGACTAAACAAATCAATAAAATGGGCAGGTGGGGCAACACTTTCACATCTCTGYTGGGACGCGCCCTAACCCTTAACACCTCCATCTTTTCGATGATGTGGTATATAGCTTYTMTCTGGACTGTACCAGACAAGTCAATTAAGGAACTCAATAGGGTAGCAAGGGCCTACCTATGGTCTGGTGACCCTAACAGAGTCAACTGCATCCCCAAGATAGCTTGGCATTACATCAAGAGGCAACCAAGTAAAGGAGGATTGGGGATCATCGACCCCAAACAAGTAACCAAAGCTCTCCAGGTCAAATGGATCATCAAAATGCTAACGAAGCCAGGCACAGCTTGGAACAAACTAGCCCTGGATAGCATTAGAGGACTAGCTCCGATACCTACACCAACAAACATGTCAGGTCTTTTCTGGGTGATGAACAAGGAATGGACCCCCAACACAGGACGCAGAAACCGCCGACAAGGAAACAACCCTCCAGAGAACAGACCCCCAACACCCTACTGGACGTCCCTCCTAAGGATTTGGAGGGAAATCATGCCGAAAAAAGTCGGCAAGCCCAAGACTAGAGAAGAGGTACTGAGGCAACCCCTTTTTGGCAACCCATGGTTGAGAGATGAAAGCGATCACCCCTTCCCTCTCAAGGTCAGAGGCACACGTTGGCTATCCTGGATAAAGAACGGAGTCTGGAAAATCGAACATTTATGGAATGAAGAGAAAAGGGACTGGGTAACAGACCTTGACCTTACCGCTCTCCTCAAGGGCTGTCACCAACGGGAGAAGAATCTACAGGCCATCACCAACAGCATTCCGGAAGGGTGGAAAGAGCTTTTAAAGAGCCCACCGACATGGAAAACAGGTGAATGGGGGGTTAGGCTGCAGGACACGCCCCCCTCAAGGGCCTATCAATTCTCACACAAACAGCAGGGCTCAAACACTGTCGCAATTTTTACCTCCTATCCAATATCGCTGTCCGCACATGGTTCGGCCTCCATCATAGAAAAGGATGTAGTAAGAATAAATCTAGAGATCTTTCTGCTCAGGAAGGTGAGAGTGATGGGCCCCTGGCCTAAATCAATCTTTCAGATGGACACAGCGATCCAAGATTTGGAATTCGACCCAGCAGAATGGGCATGGACATCAGGAGGGAACAAGTGCACGAAAACAGAAATACAAGACTACTCGGTGAAGATGGGGTACAGATTATTCATCAAAACCAAAGATCCGGAACCAGTAATCAAAAGCAGATGGGCAAAATTAATCGGTCAAGAGGCAGACCAAATCACACAGATTCCATGGAAGAAATATAAATCAATCAAGCCGGTCAAAATCAGGAGTATACAATGGCTGATAGCCTATGTAGCGCTTCCGCTCAACCAGTGGCTCCACATTCGCAGAAGGAAGAATGATCCCAACAGCTCCGACCTACGCACAATATGCTCAGAAAATGAACCAGAAGACCTACTTCACTGCCTAATCCGATGCAAAGAAGCAACAGAATACTGGGCGAGGGCGTCGGATCTCTGGGACTTCATGTTCACTAAGTCATTTCCTGAACACCCCATCCAACTTCTACTGTGGACTAATATCCCGACTGACCTCAACAGCTCAGAGAAGACATGGTACGGTATGATCAGGAAAGTCATGCTATGGGCTATATGGAAGGAGAGATGTAGCAGAACGATTGAAGGCCTATCGGCGTCAAGAGAAAAGGTGTGGACAGAAACCAGGACACTGATCCAGGCGGAGATCTTATGCAGATGGCACAGATTGAAACAGGCACTTCCTGAGGACGATGAGAGGAAGAACACCATCCTCTCCAAGTTTGTCAAAGTGTGGCTGGCGGGAGGACAAGTGGCGGAGTTGAGAGACAACAGAATGTGCTGGAAGGACTGGCACAACTCGGAAATCAGCTGGAGAAGCCAACAAGCTGCGGGCTGCCCGCAGGACCCACAGGCAACATAAGGACAGATACATGAGTCACAAGACACAAACGATGGTTGAGATAGCAACTTACAGGCCATTCCCCACTCTCCTTGTTTTCTAAAGTTTATTTGGCAGATTCCCACAGAGGGATTTGAGAGGGACTGCAGGGGAAGGCAAGCTGACAGTCAATCCTCCTATTGGGAGTAATCAATGCTGGTCAGGGTTCCTTCGGCCAAACGGAAGGAAGCGTTAGTGGGTTCATGATGTATTCACTTTTGACTTGCCAGGGGAATAGTAACCGGACTGACGCTCCCCAGAATGGATGTGGAGCCAGGACCATAAGGGTCTGTTTATAGTAAAAAAAGAAAAAGAAAAAAAAAGAAAAGAAAAAAAAAAGCCCACAAGGCTCCAAGTGAAACAGCTTTCACCTTTGGCAGTAGCCGATGCAGATCCCAGGGGTCGATC